ATAATCCGTATCTCTGAGTTAAGCACTTCAAGGTATTCTGCACTCCTGGAAAGTTTCAGAGTAACAGCTCTAAAACAGTAATAGCAGGTTCTGTGGTGGGAGTAAGTTTCTACTAAAGGCAACACTGAACAACCTTCTTTAAATAGACCTTTTAAAAGCCGTGAGGTGACAATTTTTTTTATCCCTGCCAAACTAAACAGCAATGGGGATGTCAAAACTAAGAAAATAACTAGTCCAGCAGCCCATCTCAGCCCTTCAGCAAGATAAAAATGAGCTTCTCAGCAGGCACCCAATACGGGGAAGCCTTTGCAGGTAAAACCTAAACCCACTGGCCCATCTGTCAGAGGGTGTCAGTGACAACCAGAAGTTGTTCAGGACAAAACATTCCTGATTTACCAGGGCAGTGAGAACCAGTAAAAAACAAAAGCATATCATGAACATTTCTTGAACCCAAGACCTGTACACTGAGGCTGTTCCAGGGGAGTACTGGAATAACAGCAAGGAATAAATATGCCAGCTGTCCCTACAGAACCCTGCTTAGATACTGGGAAGATGAGTGGAGACTCAAGGAATACTTTCAAGCCCATTAGCCTGAGAGAAGCACAAGTCAAGCTCTCACAGTGCACTTATGGTCTCAACAACCACAAAAAAACCCAAGATTCTCTCATAAACCAGCAATCATAAAGTACACTTCCTATTTTTTGCTGGAATTACACACATTTATGAGATTTATGACAGATGTTTTTCTTCCCAGATAACCGACTGCACCAAGAACTATGAAGTTCTTTAAATGAGTGGACCTATAAAAGCGTGTGTAAATTCAAAGTCACTAAAAGATTACTGATCAAAATAGTTCTAATATAGTGGGGAAAAAAACCAAAACAGATCACTCAATTTTTCCTTACAGAGTCACATAAATCATGGTTCTGACAGTTTTCTTTAGCTCAGGAACCCCAACTCCTGAATATCTAGAAGTTACCAAGAAAACCAATGCACCTTACCAAAGTCTCTTAACGCCCACAAACTCCTCGGTAACCCCAACTTTCTCTGTTTTATCAGAAACAGCTTCTCAGGACCAGATGCTAAATCAAATTGAAGTCAAAGAACCACATGGAGGGTTTTTAAACCTTAACATTTGATTACAGAAGTAATGGCAAACATAACCCAAATAAAACAGCAGCGTGTCTTGGCTTCTGGCACAGTGGGAGGGAGGAGAAGACTGCAGCCTCTTTCTCACAAATTCCAGACCCAAGTCCTACTTCCAGAGCCCTACTGACATGTGCCAAAGCAGACACAAGTCCATCCTTCCAGCCTCCCCATTCCCTGGACAGCAGGTTACACATCTGCTTTTCACTTTGTACCTAGTTCTCTGTACCTCAAGTATTTACAGCTCAGTTCTGAACTTAAAGACAATCTTAAATCCTGTGTCTAGTCCAACATTTTTCTTAGAAGTAATAACTGTCCTTAATTTAAAATTTGCAAGCCATTCTCAGCAAAAAAAAAATCCAACTTAGTAGACCATAATAATAAATAAATAAACAAGCAAACAAACAAAACCAACAACAATAAATCATGCAGCAGTATCCTTGTCTTAAGAACAAGCAGAACAGATTACATCAGGACAAACCCAAATAACCAAAGGGAAAAATGCCAACTTAATTATTTCTCCTGTACAGTAGAAAATGCACAAGGACTGCAAATCTGCCTGCTTCCTAGGCAAGATGCTCTGCACATACCAGTCACTACCAATCTTTCCACTGTATTACCTCCCCATGTTCCTTGTAAAAAATCTACTATTCCTTCTGCTTTCTTGAACCAGGGACTCCATATCAGCCTCCTTCTGAATGCAGTTCCCTCTTCAAGCATCACTGCCCTCATTCCCTGCTCCATCCCCTCCACACCTCTCCTCTCCCTGGTCTCCACCAACGTGAGTTTCTGCACAAATGGGACATCAGCACAGAAATAAAATTGTTTTGAAAAATGCCAGGTGGACATAACTCCAGTTTGAGTACAGAGCTCCTGAACACCTGCCTAGGCCACGAAAGAAGGAAATACAATATCCTAAATATTATTATAATTAACACACTCTCAGAATTATTGTTGAAGTATGACAGTTCTTCTTTTGGGGAGACCCCAAAGAGGTAATATTATTAATCTTGAACGTCCAAAGAGATTCCAAAAGAATTAGCTACGTAAGAGCAGCTGTGCTCCAGCCACTGATGATGCAAAAATGTCACAATCCTGTGCAAGTTGAAGCAATGACAAATACACAAGAAACGCTATGAAAAGCACCAAGAAAAGTGCCTGGATCCCAAATGTTTGACATCTTAATTTGAAGACAAATGTTATAAGGTGTAACAAATTCCATTCAACTGACATTACAAAGTTACAATTATCTATGTTACTAAACTGATTCTATGAAGCTACACCATCTGACAAAGGAATGGCAAACTCTTCATCAGCTGTGTTGGAAAAGATTCTCTTTTCAACTTAGCCTTCTTTCCCTCCTCATACATAGTACTATTTTTAAAAAAATAAAAAATTAAGAACTCTGTTACAGCTAAGCCAGCCATTTTCAGCTGCCAAACTAAAGTTTAGTTCCATTTTAGTACCAGGAGACTGGATCATAATTCAGACAGTTAAACTGAGGATTACTTGTTGACATCAATTTTGAACAGCCCAAAATAACCCAGTCTTCAAATTTTGGGGGGAGGAAAGGGCATGAGATTACTAAGAGAACTGGCAGTAGCACTTCAAATACTTTGCTGTTTTAGCAGATCACGACAAAGAATGTATTGATCTGAAGTTGTGCTAGAATTGATATGGCAAAGAGAAGCTGAAAAGAGAAACATTAACACCCAAGTTAATACCACATGAAGGAGCCAGTAAATCTCACTTTAAAGTGCCTGAGAGAACATTTGATTATTTGATTGACTGTATTAAAAATAACCTCCCATTCAATCAGTAAAATATTTCCTACTTACACTTCTGACTTGTTTACAGATCCTTCTTGCAAAGGGCACCAAAGATGGGTGGGAATTCCTGTCCCTGAGGAATTTACAGGTCAAACAACATACAATGAGAGCAGCCACATACAAAGCTTAAAATGTCCCCTTGACCCATTCTGAGATGGAATTAGTCTCCAATTAAAGTCACGCTTCTGTGATGAACCCCGTTGATGCTTTTGTGCCACTCAGAATTCCAATGACATTAATGTTTGTAATTATACTTCTGAGAAAATGCTAATGGACACAACTCCACAAGAACAGATCACAGCCTCGCCGGTGTCACCCCCACCTGCCTGCACCGGCTTAAGCAGTAGAAAGAAAGTAAAGGTAGCAATTTCTTTTTCCTTCCAGAGAACTACACCACATAATTAGAGTTTCACAAATCCCACGAAATGCAATGCATTCAAAGGCATTATTCTCTTTGAATGCTGTGACGGACTTAAACCAGAGGTGATCTTTCACATATGACATTCCAGACTCCACATGCTGAGACACCAACTCAGCTTGGCCTTAGGAAGGAGGCCAGCAAAAGAGTTCCACAACATCTCCCTGCTCACCTGTTTTCCCCTCTCTGAGAAACTATTGAAAAAGGGGGGAAAAAGAACAAATAAGCCTCACAAATCTCTTCCGCGAGACTGATAAGCAGATGGAAAAATAAAACTACTTACAACAGATCCCTCTTGAACTACTGTTAAAAGGTTCTGCTCATAACAGAGCAAATTCTAAGACGAGAAAGAGGTACTTACTACACAGAAGACATCTCACCTCTCAATCTTTGCACCAACAAACACATCAAAGCACTAAATTCACATGCCAGCTCCACCACTTGTGACACCGCAGGCAGCTGGTGAGCAGAGACCGTTCAAGCACAGCACAAAGCCCGTCAAACAACGTTTGTTTACTACATCAACCCCCAAGAATTCCAGAAAAAGTTGTTTTTATTGCCATCGCTGAAAGTCACCGTGGCAGCAGAAAGTTCTCAGCAGCCGGGCTGTGCCAGCCGTGTAGGACACCCGGATCCATCTTCTCCATCATTTCTCCCACCCGCTGCTCCCAAGGGAGCGGTGACTGCTGTGGGGACAGGCTGATTCTGTCACTCCCAAGGAAGGACTCACAGACACATCCAAAGGACTCACAAACACATCCATGACCTCCGCAGACAAGTTTATCTTATCCTGCCAGGAAGCTGCTGCAGTCTGGGACCGTGAAGGCAGACAGGGAGGCGCTGGCAGCGTGGATTACCAAGGTCTGCCTCGCTCCTTAATCCAACTTTCCTAATTTTTGTTTAGACTTCGGTTCCCAAAGACGAGCTCGATCTTGAAATTCTTCTCACACTGTACTTTACTTCTGATAAAGCACTGACTATAGGTGATCACAGAATCATCACAGAATGAATCACAGAGTGGTTTGGGCTGGAAGAGACCTTAAAGATCATCTTGTTCCACCCCCCTGCCATGGGCAGGGACACCTTCCACTATCCCAGGTGGCTCCAAGCCCCGTCCAACCTGGCCTTGGACACTTCCAAGGATAGGACAGGCAATAACATGGAAGTTTTGCTACCCAAAATCCAGACACAACCCATCACTCCCATCACCGACTCCACCACCGCGTGCAGATCCACACAGGCACATCCGAACACGAACAAAATCAAAACAGGAGAGTGGGAAGAAGTGGGAGGGAGGCAGCATAGGCATGATCTCACCCAGGCACACCAAGGCACCACAGCTCGGGGTCCGGAGCAGCAGCCACGGGAGAAAAAAATCCGAGTTTCCTGCCTTTGTACTGAAGCTGTGCCAGCCTGCCTCCCCTCAGCAAACCGTTCCACGCGGGACACCGATCGCAGCGGGATCCGGGGCCGCGCCGGAGGCGCCTCCTTACAGCCCCCCCGACCCCGCAGCGGGTCGGCTCTGGCTCAGCTCGCCCCCGTTCCCCCCGCGCCCCCCCGTCCTACAGCGCTGCCCGAGGAGAGCAGTGAGAGCACAGGGGCTTTACCTCTCCGCCGGGATCCGTCCCTCAGTCCCTCAGGAACACGCTCGGAGCACTGGGAGCCGCCTGCGCCCCGCGCCGCCCCCCCCCCCTCCCGCGCTCTCCCCCCGCTCACGACATGGTCTCTCCCGAGGCGCCGCGGCTGCCGCGGCCGCGGGCGCTCCCACTCGGCGCGGCGGGGGGGGGGAGGCTCTGCCCGCTCTCCTCTAATGGCGGCGGCCGGAGCGGCCCAAAGCAAAATAAACCCCCGCACGGCCGAGCCTCACGTCAGCGCGGCTTGCCGCCCTGCGCGCCGTCCATTGGCTGGTCCCGCTCCCGCATTTCACCAATGGGCAGGCGGCTCTTTGCGCAGAGCGGTGATGTCATCGCTGCCGCGGGCTGCCGCGCTCGGGGCGGGCGCCAGGGGGCGCCGCCCGTGCCGGCCCCTCAGGGCGGGTCCCGCGGGACCCTCGGGGGGGATTCCGCTCTGCCCCTTCCCGGCCCTTCCCGGCCCTTCCCGCTCCCCTTCCCGCAGGTCCCTCCCGGCCCCTCCGCACTCTGAGACCTTCCCCGAGCCAAACATGCGCCTGGGTCGCCGGCGGTAACGGGCGGAGCGTTGTGGAGTGGAGACGAGAGCATCCTCTCTCTGGCTCCGCATCCACCGTGGTGCGGGGTACATGGACATGGGAGTTTCCTGTGGGAATAATCTCTCAAAAAACCTCCTTGTGATGGCAGGTGCCAGGCAGCAGCAGTGGAGAACACCGCTTTGTGGCAGCTGATCACAGAATCACTGAGGTTGGAAAAGCCCTCTCAGACCATTGAGTCCAAGCTGTGCCTGGTCCCCACCTTGTCCCCAGCCCAGAGCACGGAGTGCCATGTCCAGGCTTTCCTTGGACACCTCAGGGATGGGGAAGGGACCACCGCCACTCTGGGCAGCCCCTTCCAATGTCTAATCACCTTTCTGTGAATAAATTTTTCCTTATGTCTGACCTGAACCTGAACTGGCTGCAATTTAAGACTCCATCCTCTATTTCTTATTGGCGCTCTGGAAATAACTTGCTACGGAACAACTGAAGGAATTAATGTGTATGAAATCAGAATCCGCCAGGTGCCATGGTCAGGTTGACATGATGGTGTTGGGTCAGACTCAATCTCAGGGATCCTTTTCCATCTAAACTGATTCTTTGAAATAAAATTTCAGCATCTCCTCCACATGTTGATCCCAAGCTTTTCTGACTCAAGACGGTGAATGTTTGGGATTGGAGTTCAGGATGTCACCCTGCCCAAAAAGACTCATCGAAGCAGCAGCCCCACAGTGCAAAGCCCATTTCTGTTCTGGGAAGGAAAGACCTGCAACAACAGCTCTGCCAGCCCTTGGGTTCAGTCCATGTGCTGGCTACGCAATATTTTTTTTTGCTTTCTACTCAAAAATTGCGAGTCTGCATCTTCCTTAAGCTGCCCTCGTAGGCTCACTGATACAAAATGTGTATTCCTCTACATCCTTGCTTTTCCCTCATGGGCTTTACATCATTTGAATACTTTATTTTTATTTTTTTTTACCCCAACTGCAGTTACTACTTTTTATTTCAGGCTTTCTCAGATGTTTTAGCACTTTCTTATTTCCATGGTTTCATCCCCCATTCCCAGACTCTGTTAGATAATGCCTTGGGCTTGGTATTGCATTGGGAAACTCATCCAGAACCAGCTGGATCCATCCCTTCTCCCTCAGTCAGCATAAAAGGAAAGCACCTGAGATGTTCCAGCAGAGCAGTGCTAGAGAAAATCCCTTTGTCCAGCAGGCAGACAACCAGCACTGGAGTCAGGACAAGTAAAATGTAATTACTTATGGAGACTGAAATAGAAATTTGTCTTCATTTGCAATTAAATTAGTTCGCTGTAAACATCAAGAACTGTTGCAGGGGGAGGGTAATGTGATTTCTCTCTTCCAGACTAATTATTTACTAAATTCTCTTTCTGACTCCACAAAACAAGTTGGTGCATTTCTCAAAACACAGCTGTATAAAAAAGGGGGAAAACTTTTTTTTTTCCTTTTTTTTTTATTAAATAAGACTTGGATAAGTCATGTAAAATAAATATTCCTTATCTTAAGAAATTTTGCCATCTCTGCACTTAGAAATCATCCAGAAAATTTATCCCTTGCTCTTGGCATCTAGGCAAGATAATGGAAGAGCTGTTGGGGTAAATTCCAGATGTTGCCCCAACTGTGGAACAATGGAAATTTCCAGAAATAATTGTTATAGATTAGACTGTATAAAAAGATATGAAAATACAAGGAATATCTTAGAACCATAGACTCATAAAGGGGCTTGTGTTGGAAAAAAGTTATGACCAACTGAAAAAAATTAATTCCAAAGAATTCTGAGTGTTTTTAATCCCTGCACAGTTGATCTGCAGAACAGAAGCATTCTGAGTAGTGAAAGAAGTCCCTGGATAGTATTCAAAGGAGAACATGTGGTCAAAATGAATTTGAAAATATTTGCCAGAGCAAAAGCAAATCCTGGGCTGCATCTCCCAATTACCTGACATTTTTGATGTTGGTGACTTTATTGGTAAGGCCATGTCTTTGGCTTTAGCTCAAAAAGCTGCTGGTATCTCCTGCCAGGTTTACCTTGCAGGAGTTTGCCATTTGTTCTAGACTTAAACACTAAAATACAAGAGGAATGACCTTTCAGCAGTTTAGAACATCTATATTTACACATATAATTTATCCAAGAAGAGCTTTCAGACTTCTAATTTGGAGACAAATCAAAATCTACATGATTTGATAGTCCAGTCCTCAATAGATTCGGTGTTTGATCATCTTTTCTTTTTTTAAATGTCAGAAAGATAATTCTATTTTTTGTTAGAGGTAGCAGAAGTTGTAAGCAAGTACTAATTTAATATCTCATCCAGAATTTTCATTTCCTTTCACCAGTTTAAGGAGAAATTTTAACTCCCTAGGGAGGAATTTGGAGCAGTCATACTCATTTGACAGCTGAAGCTGTTATTTTGGGAACCTTCCTTTGCAGAGCTGGATTTGCTCAGGCCTTGCAGCTCGGGAGCCTTCACACACGAGTTGTACAACTGCCCCTTGTGTCTCACAATAAACCCACAGCAGAACCATGAGATAAAAATATCATTAATATCATTTGCATATATATGTGTTCCAGCTTCTTTTCCCCCCTCTGCTTCTCAAACATCATAAATCCCTGTTCCTGTAACTTCCCATCTTCCTCAGCCATCCTAACTCCAATCTCCTTTCTTCCTGTCCCTCCAGAACAAGAACTGATGGTAAATCTCCTTATCAGAGCTCACAGATTTGATAAAACCCAAGCAACGTGCACAAAGGATGTGATTTTGCAGGAATATCCAGCTCAGATCCCGCCTTGGTTCCCATCCTTGCCAGCCTGGAGCTGCCCCAGCAGCCTGGAACCCTTTGTGCCTGCGAGGTGTGAGCCTTGCAGGCAGCCAGCAAGGCAGATGGCTGGGAAGTTCCCTTCCTTTTCCACAAAGAATTTATAAATTTAGGATTTTTTCGGCACAACCCTGAATTGCAATTTGCTGCTCTCTGCTATTAAACACGAGCACTCTGCCTTACAAGATGCCCTGATTTTTTCTGTCCTGATGCTCGCTGTTAGTAAAAGGCCTTTCCCTCAACCCTCCCTGACGTTTCTGTTCTGATTCACCCTGTTTATACCCGAGCAAATGATACCCAAAGCTATAATTAGAAAGCAAGCCTTGAAACATTCCACAGGAGCGCATTTGTTGCTTGTAGTAGCTGAGGGGACTCAGCAACACAAAATTGTGCTTCAGGTAAGCAAAAAAAAAGACAAAAACCTAATTATTTTCTGCTGGAATGGAGTGGTTTTGTGCTGCAGCAGAATTATCTCAGCTTGAATGCAAAGATTACATCTAGTTAGTGATGTCTAAGTGCAGATCTTGCTCTTATGTAATTCTCTTTACCCTGGTAACTCCTCGCTCTCAGGCAGAGCACTGGCTCCCATTAGGAGATTCATCCTCACTTATCCAGGAGCAGGGATGTACGTGCTCACCAGATGGTTATTTCTCGCTAGCTGAACTTTGGAAATGCAGAGCTCCCTACTCAACCATCTCCTCAGATCCTGCTCTTGCTGTTGCTTTATCCTGTGTTTGCAGGAGCAAGGAAGGCTTGTAAAACTTAGATAAAGGGCGAGGAATAGAAGCGCACAAAAATCCAAAGGAAGCACAGGTTTTGGATTGAGAACAGGGTGTTTTAAATGGTTCACTGATTTGTTACCAGTTTTCCATCCTGTGAGTCAGCCTGAGCCTTCACACCCAGTAAATCCCATCCTTGTGTCTCCTTTTCTCATTTTCGTTTGAATCATAAAAGTGTAAAAGCTATAGCTAGATCACTCTCCCCCCTTTCCAGGCAAGGATGAAGTCAGAGGAGGCTAAATCACAAAACCATAGAGTGCCTTGGGTTGGAAGAGACATGAAAGAACACCCTTGGAGCAGCAAGAGACCCCTCACAGCTCTCCAAGTAGTCATAGTGTGTCGGGGTGATTGTTTCAGGGACAAAACAGCCAGGAAGAATAGAGAATAAACAAATCTAGTTTGGAAGAACGGGGCAGAAACATCTCTAACTCTGCACTCTGATATGTATTTCAATAGCAACAAGGAAAACATTCAAAGTGGTGAGCATTTGCATTGAAAGCTTCCACATCTCTTAGTTTTCTTGCTTCCTCTCTGGTTCCACATGGAGCAGAGAAAGGGGTTGAAGGACTAAATCCACCAGGATGGGGCTTTCCAGCAGAAGGGTTTGAGCCCTGTGATCAGGGAACATTAGAAGCTTTCCTCAGCTGGGCAGACCTCGTGTAGGTGAAGGAGCCTGTGGCCAACAGAAAGGCAGCACACGTGGAGAGAACCGGGAAGCCGGGAGGAGATGGGGTGGCTGTGATCCAGCACTCAGCCTGGATCTGGAGGCTCCACGAGACTGCAGGAGCTGCCCGGCCCAGATGGTGAGCACAGCGTGGCTGCTGCTCCGAGCATGCAGCAGCAGGTCTGTCACAGCGCAGGAATGCAGGGGGGAGGACAGAGAGGAGGAAAAGACAGAGGGAACCGAGG